TTCAAGTGTGGCTGATTCGAAAAACTATTCAAACTTTTCATTCCTGAACAGAATGTTCCACAAACTACAGTGTATACGATTAAAACTTGCAGTGAAGCGTTTGTCTGATTTGGAGATAAGGATGTGTCCTTTGAAGAAGACATATCTTGATATTAGACACACAACCCATTTTAGGCAGATTAGGCAACTTGCATACGTCTGTCTCCATGTCTTATGCAAACACACCCACACATTTGTTAACTGACTCTCTCAGTCTGTCTATTGTGAATCTGTGTGCAAACACTGACTGACACATGGCCTTTTGTCATCAGTTAAACAGAGCACTAAAAGGCTATATTAAATGTAATGGGGCTTCTCACTGCCAGGTTACAAGATTTACATCCCTGTCCTTTCAGTTCTCCTCCCATGCTTACTTTCAGCTTAAAATAATTGTTATGCTTTAAAAATAGTTTTCTGTTGCCTGTGTCATTTATAAGACGTCTTGGGGCCTGTTGGTTAATGAGAGCGTGCTGGATGGAAAAGGCACAGCCTGTGTGCTTTGTGGGGTTGTTCCTCCAATGTCCTATCAGTGTGTTTGTGCTGTCTCAAATATTAATAGAGCGGAAAAGTGCCCAGAGTGAAATGAGTTTGTGGCTGCATGGAGCCTTGGCTTTCTGATGATGGTGATTAGCAGACTAGAGGATGGCAATATTCTGCTGTGTAGTACAGCAGGGAAACTGATTACTTTCTTTGGTACTGCCTTATTTTCAGCTCTGTTTCAATGCCTCATCGGGGCGGGCGCGTGTGACTTGGCTATGAATTTGCATTCTTATGAGCTGGCTGTGATGGAACTGGGTTCATACTGTAAATAATTCCTCGTATCACAAATATCACATTGCACTCTGACATTCCATTTAAAGTTTTCACAGTAAACAATTTGTTTTCATTCACATTCAACACTTCTTATAAGAAAAAAAACATATTTCTCCCCAATCTAAATAAGAACAATAATTGTATGCTCATCATAAATAAGACTTATGTAGTTTTGAGTTTCTGTATCATTCATTTATACAGTGAATTATAACATAGAAACTTTTCTAGTCTCTAAACCATATCACATTGCATCTGTCTGCTCATTATGATGCAAACACTGAGCTAGCTTCATTTGTGGGGTGAGTATGTAAAGGGTCATGCAGGGACATTGTGTTGTTTTTGCTCAAATGGAACTTGATGCATTATATTTTCTATCATTACATTTAACGAAGAATAGTAAGATTAAGCAGTGTTAAATCCCTGAGAATCATGGAGCTCTTTCTGCTCTGCTTTTTACGGAGCCCCTAAGGGGAACAACGTTTTCTCGTGCTCACGATAAAGTTTAAATGTTCATTAAATGTTAGGCATGTTAGTCCTGTTGAGAAAAAGTATGAGCCTTGGGTGTACAGTATTCATGTGAGCCATAAACGGAATAGCTATGTTCTTCTGTTGGGTTATAAAGTCAACCGCTTTTAAAATCTAGTCAATGATTAAATGGATTTCTGTCAAACATCCAATTTGGAATATTAATTTCCCCCTCAATTTGAATTGTAATAGCTCTGGTGATCCCCGGACATCTTATCTAGTGTTATCAAAAAGGCATCACTTTGTCTACTTATTTAGTCATTTGACCAAATACTTGCCAAACTAATAACAATCCCAACAGCGTCATCTAAATGAATAACTAAACAATTGCACTTGCTGGTTAGTTGAGTTTATAATGAGCATTTAGGACAGTCTCTCAGCCAGAGTACATCAACAATTTGTGAAAAGTCAAGTGGCCATTAGAGGAGACTGTGTTGAGAATTTAAATCTCCGCAGAATCCTTTTACTTGTCTTACCCCACTTGTTTAACACATGAAACGATCTCATCCCCCGTCTGTTCCTGCAGATGATTCTGTATTTTTCATTCTCATCCTCTTCGACTGTCAGTCTCAATTACTTTTGTTAGGTTCAGTTCCCACCCCCGTTCTGCTTCCACAAAACTAAACATGTGCACACATTAGCAGAAAAGTTTTCATCTCCTTGTCTTGTTTTTCAAGGTCTTGGCGAGAACGAAGAAAAGCCCCAGAGGAATATCATGGCGACGTGTGCTGAAATTTTAATCGGGAGGAAATGGGGCGGCACAATCTTGCTTCTTCTTAGTATACATTTGCACAGATGGACTCTTGCTGCTTGTCAGGTCCTTGTATGACACATTGAGGGCGTCTGCCTGTGACAGAAAGAGGAGAATAGAAGTGGTGAAGGGAGGGGGGGGAGACAGGTGAGGAGAAGGGGGAAAGAGGAGAGAGCTGAATGAATTATTCTCCTATACAGCATCTATGTGAGAGCAGCAAGGAGATGGAATAATAAGTCAATACATACAGGTGGAAACAGGTGTCCACGCTTCCCCCTGTATCAGGTGGCAGCTGGCCAGTTATATATTCTAAGGTGGATTGATGTCAATTTGCATTTTTGTGTGGATTTTAAGTGTTAAAATTCAAATATTTAAGCCAATGCAGTCTGATTATGCACACGAGTCCCCACAACTTTGCAGTTTGAAAAGAGATGTGTCGCATCAACATGTTGCTTATTACTGAATCCCTTTACCTGACCTTTACCTTAACTTAACCTAACCCTTAACAAAACATGAACTCTTGATCTGTTGTGAGAACGGGACAAAATGTCCCCACTTTCCAACTCGTCTCTATCAGGAACCAACCAATCAATCACATTTGACCTAAATAGCCCAATATCAGCAATAAGACAATTGTTTCAGGTGTGCATCATACGGCACCCTCTGTCCTTGCGGCAGAGACCTCCTTAGCGTATAAGGAAATATTCCCAAAGAGAATCTAAAAGGGAAAACATTGTAGAAACTTTGGGGAGAGCAACAGTGGACGGGTCCCTATCCAATGATAGACAGACATGCAAAAGATGACAGTGTATAGATTTAAAAAGACAATGCATTTAGAACACAGACAATCCAAATGATTAAAATGACAATGTGAATGTATAGTAAAATAGATTGATGGATGTCAACAATCTTCCAGTTGCCGCCAAAAGTAAAAAATTGGTCATCGGAAATATTGAATAACAACACCGTAACACACATACCAAAAGTCCTCAACCAAATGTGTGTGTATATAGATCAGTTTTTTATTTGGTGTCATATTCTTCTAAGCCCGCAGTCTAATTAATAATTCACTGTATTTCTCAGTAGTGTCATTTGTATTTAAAGTGTTTCGCTAATTTCCTCCTCCCAGCGAGCTCATTATTGCTCCATTGTGCTGTGATCCTGTAACTCACAATGCAGAGTCACTGAAAGTCACTCGGTGTGTAGAATGACTAAATGGAAGAAGAAGCATCCTCTGTCTCTGTATGCGGAGCTGCAGCGTCTCTGTATGTGTGTGGTTGTGTATATAAGGCCTCCGCGGGGTTCTGCGTCATCACATTGATATTCTCCTCACAGGATATTCAAGCATGAAATAGAAGTGCACACTTTCTGTGGATAAACTCTCAGCACAGCGCTGTTGGAAGTGAGAGTTTGATGTTCTGGAGAAATCTCTTTGCTGACACTGATTCTGACAGGGGGCCAGGAAGAAAACCTTATTGTGTGTGCTGCACTGTTGTATAACTCTGCGAGTGTTCCTAAAGATGCACACCTGTGGTTTAGCAAATTAGAGCGCATTAAGAACACATTTTGAATAATTGACATCACTTTTGACCATTTCTCAGTGTGTTGTACAAGTTGAAGGTTTATTGACAGTGGCCAAAAGCCTTAGGCTCAGTGGCGGCGCCAGGGTATGGCTGGGGTAGGCTACAGCCATACCAAGTAATGGCTTAGCCCCACCATGAACAATTATGTTAAAGTAAGCAAATTAAATTAAATAATAAGCAAAATGCTAAATTTTGAGAAAACAACTTGCGAAAATATACGGGTCTTGTCCACAACACACAAACTGATCCTGCTGTAAGTGCACGTTACTGACGCAATATGGTTGAGACCATTCGGCTTTATGCTAGAAGAGGGGTGCAAGGAATAGTCTAAGTAGTGGGGGAGTTTTATACACTAAAGGTGTGAAAATTCTCTGAATTTTCGAGCCTCCGAATGCAATTTGAATAGACCTACAGCCAATCAGAGCAACAAAACGTTGGGTCTGCGACATGCATTACTGATGAGATCAGTCGGAACCGCCATTCAGTATCCCCATTGGATCTTCAACGTGTACTGTCATACGTCACGTTCACAGTGATCCCTTTTTATTTACTACAAGACAAATGTGCCGTTTTATTTCATACAGTTCCATTTTGATTGAGACAGGGAAATAATCTAAACCTCACGCGTGGCGTTTCACTGTTAAGGGGGGCGATATAGCGTGTATGTAATTACATTGCAAATACTGACTTGAGCCCCACCTGTATGGGTTAGCCCTACCATAGATTACCCAACACAAATACTCTGGCGCCGCCACTGCTTAGGCTGTAGGAGAAATCCAATTCATCTGGCTGTTCCCTCGTTGATTTAGCATTACTAAGCTAATTTCTAGCTGTTCAGTTTTGTAGCTATAAATACCCAAATAAATCTTGGTAATGGAAAAGTTAATGTGAAACAGAGACTTGGAAGCTTGCTCGAGGAAATGTATCAAGCACATTTTACGAGTTAGTGGAACATTTTCAAAAACCCTCCCTTCTGGTGCATTTATAGACACTTTGACATTTGAGAGTTTTGAGATATGGCCAAAGTTTGATGGACCTTTTCATGTCGTCTCATTGTTTTGCCTGGGGTTTGATTTCCTCTGGAATTTGCATTTCTATGCAGTTGACTTTCAAATATCAGATGCCAAAGGGTCCTTAAAAGCACTAACTTTTTTAAATGGATCCATTATAACCACAATGATCATCTTAAAGTTGGTGAATGTGATGGACTGTCTGCTACAACAAGTACAGTATATCCGTGTTTGACAGCAATAATGACTGGCTTTCTCCTTGCTTGTGTGTTTCCACAGGCGGTTAATCGGGCGGGGAAGGATGCTCATGTGATACGTGATGGCGTGCAGAGGATAGACTGGCATAACTATGAAGCAATCAAAATAGATTTATCTCGATCTGGTAAGTCCCAAACCTCCTCCTAGTCGCTCCCCAAAGATGATCCCTCATAGATAGAGGAACGCATGACACTGTTAGGAAAAAATCCCATATTTTGAAGAAAGGTCCACACATTCATATGCTTATATCTAGATGAACTGTTCTTCTCAAACACACCATGCAATTCCATCTCTGAGTCTTATTGCTCTCCAGCTCTGCAGCAGCGGTGTGAATCTGCTTTTAATGCATTTCTGCTGTCATAAATATAGTTTATATCTGCTACAATCATCACCAACTCAGTTTTATATGCTGTTCAGGGAAATCAACCTCTATACGAAAAGTGTAAACTAGTTGGAATGGGTTATTCCTTCCTGAAATGAGTTGTTAAAGGCCTAAGGTTATCTTCCACACTTGTTTTAGGAGGAAATTTATATTTTCTGCTTAATAAAACATGTATTTATTTTAATGATAAAGGTATTTTTAATTTTTACTGGATATTTACTGCTGCCTGATTCTTTTTAAATCAAATATGTGTTTCCCCCATGTAAAAATAGGCCTGAGAATAATTTGTATTTTCATCTGATCTCTGTTGACTGTAAAGATCAGGGTTTTTGTTTGATAAAACTCCAAACCTTGAGGCGCAATACTTTAAACACTAGAAAACTACTTTCAACACTGTGCCAGACATTATTTTTGATGTTTGAATATTGCATTATCTTATCCTAACGAAAGTAGGTTACCTACGTTTTTTTACGCCTTTTTGCCTATGAAGCCACAAAGGTTGATAACATTTAGAAAGGTATGCAGACTTTTGATACAATATGACCGTACTTCAGTGTGGTGTATTTAATAAATGGAGGTGTTCTGTAATCTGTTTGATCAGGTAATGGTGAACAGGGGAGAGCGTTCCCTCTCACGGACGCTGACAGAGTCGACCAGGCCTACAGGGAGAACGGCTTCAACATTTATGTCAGCGACCGGATCTCCCTCAACCGCTCCGTCCCTGACATCCGCAATCCAAAGTGAGTCCTGTATGAGTGTGTCAGTGTGTGTTTGTCTAGAGAGGAATAAGGAATATGGGCGGCGTGTGGCGCAGTGGACTAGTGCGTTGGTGTTGGGATCAGGGGGTCACAGGTTCAAACCCCACTGCAGTCAGCATGTCGTTGTGTCCCTGGGCAAGACACTTCACCCCAAATTGCTTCTGTGGGGATTGTCCACAGTATTGAGTATGTAAGTTGCTTTGGATAAAAGCGTCTAACAAGTGACATGTAATGTAATGTAATACAGTTTAACAATAGCCAGTGACAATGTGTTAAGATAAACACTAAGGTGGGGCCTGTTTGATGATCAGGAGCCAAAGTACACTTTGCTTTGACACTTCAAAAAAAGCTTTGACACTTCAAAAAAAGGTTCATACATTTTTTTATTTTCATAATTTCAGCACAACTTTTACTAGACTGGTCTGATTTTAAAATAAAGTCAAAATATAAAGTTATTTCATAAATTAAGTGACTTCAATGGTGTTGGCAACATTTATTATTCATTTGACTAATTTATTATGTATTAAAAAAACGTAAGTGTATTACAGCTGGCAGTATTAATCAAATGCCATAATGCAACAACAGTGATTAATGAACTCTATCTATTGTTAGAATTTGTTTTTTTTTTTACTTGATTTTGAATTTTTTATGACTAAAGGTGATTTTTTTTTGACTCAATAAATTATAAAATAAAGGGCTGTTCCATATGAGCCATGTTGGTGTTGTGATGCCATTTCAAAGTGCCACATCAGTCATTTGTATAGACTGTGCAATGGTGACCAGATGAAAAGCACTTCCTTTAAGAATGTCCCCGTGAAGCGCCAAGTAACCTCAGGCTAAACTGCCGTTTTTTGAAGAAGAAATAAATCTCCTGTGTTTGTATGAGCAGTTTCATCTGAATGGGGGCAGGAACGGGCCGCAGAGGGCTGAGCGTGTGCAGCTTTTCATTCCAGCCAACCACTGCAGCAGGTTATTTCACAGATTGGCACTCCATCAACCGGAAAGGAAAAATGAATCACCTGGTGGAGCCTTTGGTTGGATTGAAAACCTGCTGACTCCCGGTCCTTCCTGACAGATGGTTGTTGTTCTCAAAAAATAAGGTTGACTATTAGACGAGAGGCCAGATGTAGAGCATGACTGTGATGTCTGTTTTCGAGGGAAGAAGAAAGAAAGACAGCAATTAGCTGATACAATCCTGAGCTTCCTGATGATTTAAGAGAAAGCTGTGGATCTCTACATTTGGATTGTAGGAGTGAAATGTGGATCTGACTGCCTGAGTGAGTGTGTTATTATGTTACAGTGTTACAAGGCAAAATGTAAGGCGAAATGACTTGTTTTGGTTTGAGAATTGTCTTGAAAGGATTTTAACCTGCTCAAGTCCATAGTCAATACTTTATAACCTTAAGATAGACACAAATGTGACTTGCCATCCAGGCATTAAATCACAAAATATTACAAATGTGAAATAAATACTGAATGAAAAACTAAAACACACATGTTTTGCTATCAGTAAATGCTGTGGACCCCCCCCCCCCCCCCCCCCCCCCAACCTTCTGCTGGGATGTGATGAAGGTGCCCATTAGGTCACTTCTGCCTGAACACCAAAGCCTTCTTATAGCACCGTTAACTTTCCTTTTGGATCCGTCCCAACTCATTACAACAGGCAATAATAGGAACAATTGTCCAGTGTATTCACAGGAGACATGTATAGCTTTACACTGACAGCAGCTGATAACACACAACACAACACCTACTGTATGCTCGTATAAGCCATGCTCCTGACAGCAATTAACAGCGTCATTGATGTCCCCCTCTGCTGCAAGGTGTGAAGAACAGATAGACTTCTGCTCTGTTGCTCTTCAGAAGCTTTTATTCTGACTGCAGGGGGGCTGAGGTTATATTTGGAGTGTGATTTCCTGAGGAAGAAGAGGAGCTAGGAGAAGATCGGAAAGTGTATTGTTTTGTTTATTGTATGTATTTGTTGGCCTCTGTCCATAGACATTTTAAATCTTACCAGTATTTGTCGATATTCCAAGAAGAGAAGTGTTGATCATTTTGGTGATCCGCTGACACCGATTTTGGTGATCCACTTGTCTAGTACTTTAGAACCACAAGTATGCACTTTATTTACACGCTTTACAACATCAGGAAGATACGTCCCCAGCTGACTCAGAAAGCGACTCAGGTTCTGGTCCAGGCTCTCGTCATCTCACGCCTAGACTACTGCAACTCCCTCCTGGCTGGTCTACCTGCATGTGCCATCCGACCTCTGCAGCTCATCCAGAATGCAGCGGCTCGTCTGGTCTTCAACCTTCCTAAATGTTCCCACACCACTCCGCTCCTCCGCTCCCTTCACTGGCTTACAGTAACTGCTAGAATCCACTTCAAGACACTGGTACTTGCTTACCATGCTGCGAATGGATCTGGCCCTTCCTACATCCAGGACATGGTTAAACCGTACACCCCAGCGCGTGCACTACGCTCTGCATCAGCCAAACGACTCGCTGCACCCTCGCTGCGAGGGGGACCCAAGTTCCCATCGGCGAAAACACGTGGGTTTGCTGTCCTGGCTCCAAGATGGTGGAATGAGCTCCCCATTGACATCAGGACGGCAGATAGCTTGCACATCTTCCGGCGCAAACTGAAAACTCATCTCTTTCGACTCCACTTCGAGCGTTAGAACTATTAACGAAAGCACTTTTATACTAATAAAGGACTGGCTTACCTAAAGCCAGTTGAGTAGCACTTGAAATGTTTGGCTCTATGAAACCTGATGTACTTATATGATTCTGTTTTCTTCAAGGTTGTGTCTTCCTGGTCGAATGTACTTATTGTAAGTCGCTTTGGATAAAAGCGTCAGCTAAATGCAATGTAATGTAATGTAATGTAATGTAATTTATAAAGCCTCTTTCATACAACAAGTCCAGCTTTGGAGGAAGGAAATAGACATACAATGAACATAAACACAGGAAATAAATGATATAGTACACATACATTTAATACAATTGGATGAAATGGAACACATAATGTAAGATGGAAAATAAAACTCACTAAACAATAATAATTTGTAATCAAAACACAACATAGAAAGAACAAACATAAGTTGCTAAACTTCAGCATATCAACACCTAAGAGGCCTAAAGGCTGCTAATTTATTTGTTGTCTTGGGGCATGGATGAGGCATTCATTAAGTTCAACATTTACCAGAATAAAGTGTGTTGAATAACAGTCTTTAGAGACATGATGAGCCATATGAACCTGTTAATACTGTACAGCCTGCTGCGTTTCTCTCAGCTCTTCTCTGACTCATTAAAGTAGAACATACTGGAAATAAACACAACAGCAAACACTATAAATATCAACTGCTAAACAGAATCAGACCCTGCTGACCTGATACGTGTCAGGAATCCAGAAGCTTCTTTCGCAGTCACAGTGTAAGACAACACTTATGAAGCGTTTTCCATCCTAAAGTCATCCTAACACTCTTGATCAACGCTGCAAAACAAACTGCACCCAATTCTTTCAAATTATTTAAAACATTTGTTCATGTTCAAAGCTGTAAAGGGAGCAGAGCTTTTGGCGATGGAGCAATGCAGCTGTGGCATAAAATGTGAGACTTTATGATTTCCAAGCCTTCTGGACAGCAGCGTTATTTGTACATTTATCATTCCCTTCCTCTTAGCCCACAGAGCACTAAAGTTAACAGAGGATCCAGAAGAGCCCAGACATGAGAAATACCAGGTCATAAAGATTGAAATTATCCTAGGCTGTTTATGATAATGGTGATTTTACAGTTTGAGCTACAGCATATATCACTTTTCAAGGAAATATAGATCCATTTACGTTTGATTCTGATCACTAACACTGTTATTTGGTGGTGTATTGTTTGGGGTTGCAACAACAAAGCCGTTTGAATGTAATTAAATGAAACACAACATTGCGAGTACCAATTATTAATGACTGGAAACGATCCACATTTGAATCCTTTAAAAGGAACAGCTGTCAGTGCAACAATTGTAAGCCTTGAATAGATGCATCATAATCTATGCTTTGTGATTGTGTCGTTGTGTAACTCTGTTGAAAGTGTGTTACGCAACCATGGTTATCATCTCTAATGATAGGGCTTAATAAGCACATTCTTGGGTTTATGGGATCATTTGCGGCTTATTTTTTGGCAACATCTTTAATTAAAAGCAAGCTCTTGGCTCAATCATGCACGGACCAATGAAACAGGGTCAATGTTTGACCTGACATGCGGAGGAGGGCTGTTGTGTCGAAGCCTGAAATCCCTCTAAACAAGAGCACATAAATTGCATGTCTGGGACGCTCTGAACCTCAGAGGTCCTTTACGCTTTACACAGGAAATACAAAGACTTTGGGCAGAGCACAGGGTGGTGGGGGGGGGGGGGGGGAACAGGTGTGTCTCTTTGTTAGGTCGAAGAGACAGCAGAGTGACGTCTGTCTGACAACATGGTGCCACAACAGTGCTCAGTAGGCCAGTACCTCCCAGCAGCATTCATTCATTCATTTCACTCTCACTCACTGTCTGAAGGGTGTGATAGAGAGACAGACAGAAGGATAAAGAGGAAGAAAGACAGAGGTGGAGTTTGAGGCAGCCAGACAGGCCTGAGAGACTCGAAGATAATTACTGTCTATACAGATTCTTACTCAACTACTCGGAGAGAGAGAAAGACAACAGAATGGGAGGGAAGGTCAAGCCAGCAGGTGGAACGCTTCATTACGTCTTATTAAAGGGTTGATCAGGTTGGGCTGAGAGCACGGAAGAAAAAGGCCAGTGTTCCTGGTTCCACAAGATGTCCCACCCTGCTCTCGATTAGCATTTGAACATCTAAATTAAACTGAATATCTCCATGAATCTATATGGCCAAACACTTACTTACATTAAGTCTGAGCATAACCAGCTTTTGTTTATTAGCTATTCATTGATTTATTTCCTCCACTTGATCCAAAAGCAACACTGTTTAAACTGTACATACAAAAAAAAGAAAATAATTTTAATATGTTATCAGTTTCTGTTGTTGTGTATGGTGCATGTTGTCCTAAAATCCGGAGCTAAAGACAAATTACAATTTTTGCAAATATGATAGACTTTAAGTTCTAAACAAGAGGACATACCTATCATTTTATGTTAGCATCATAGCTAAGGCTTGATGATAATCAGAAGTACAGTGCAGTAAAACATGAAAGTTAAATAGTTTTCTCATAACTATATAAACTTAGTGTCTCATGTAAAAACTATCCTGGGATACATTAATAAATAAGAGTTGTTGGTGAAGATGAAAATGAAATCCTTAAATTATTTGGGAGTGTTGCTAAGTGTTCTAAATCTTATAGGAACACGTGCAATAGGTTTTAATATTTCACTCTAGACCAAAATGTTGGACCCACTAGCATGTCTAAAAAAGTTATTATTTAAACAGGCATGACACACTTTGGTCTATGCACATCTCTAATTTCTTTCTCTGGCTTTGTGTGTTTGTGTAGCTGTATAAAGAAGCTGTATGCAGACACGCTGCCCAACACCAGCATCATCATCCCGTTCCATAACGAAGGCTGGTCGTCGCTGCTGAGGACCGTTCACAGCGTGCTCAACCGCTCTCCTCCACAGCTCATCGCAGAGATCATCCTGGTCGACGACTTCAGCGACAAAGGTACCGTGACTCTCAACACACACACACACACACACACACACACACACACACACACACACACACACACACACACACACACACACACACACACACACACACACACACACACACACACACACACACACACACACACACACACACACACACACACACAGTGGTGAGTCAGTGTTTCAGGAATGTAGCTCACCGGCCCAGCTGGTCATTTATTAACAAAACCAGAAAGCTCTTGTGTTGAGTGTGTGTAGATGTGTGCCTGCCCCTTAATTTTTTCTGAGGGCAATCCGCAGTATTTACTAATGAATTGACACCGGATAGTCACTGCTACTAACTTCCTGTCTTTATGGAAGGTTTAAAAAACACATTATATTTGTATGGATCATGTCTTCCTGTTAATCTAACCAGCCTCCTCACTGCTGCAGGAGGGAGTGTGTTTGGAGCTAAAGACTGCAGTGACCTCTGAACAGATGGTGATGATGAGGGCAATATGTGACCCTGCCAGTGTTAGCGAGGTTAGAAAATAAATCCCCTTTCTGATTGGTGCCCTCACACAAGCGGCTAAATCAGTTTAAACTCTGGAGTTAATGTACAACTTTGAACCCTTGAATATTAAATCGTGGGACAAGTGCAATATTATCGCCCGGGTCTGAGTGTAGGAGGGGACGAGATATTCATCATTATGCCTGGTTCATAGCCACAGTGTGACGCATCATTTCCTGCTCACTTTTCCATTTCCTTTGATACTAAATATTGCGCTTACAGTAATATACATAGTTGAGTTAGAGGAAAGAAGAAAGGATATGAGGGATATTTTTATTGGACATTCAGAGCCAATAAAAACAGATCAGCCAATCGCAGAGACACAGATAAGAGATGAAGAATCAGAAAGCATATCAGCAGAGCTGCACAATGCATCTTCAGCAAAAGGGAGATGGTGCATTTGTTAACAATGAATCAGTATAATAATAGTTATCAAATAATAAAATACTGTGTTGAAGCAGTTGTTATGATTGCAACAATCTCACTATTTGAGTCATTATTCAACTGGCAATGGTGAATTGTAACAATATATCTCAAAATGTGACACATTTTGCATTCACATCTTTATGTTTTGTACAGAGAATAACATTTATCTTTTAAGAAGTTACAAAAGAGGCATGTGGACAGGAATAATGTTCCCTGGTCATTTGTCTCTGTCACAAACAGGAAGGATACTTTATTATTTATACAGATTGAAAAGAGGAGTTATAGCAGACTGTGCCTGGGTTTATTTTGTAGCTGCCTGGGGTCATTAGCATCATGTGATTTAATCAAGGACACTGTACAGCCTGCACTCTGGCATGGCACCCCTCTAATGGGAGGCTGCAGATTTATCAATATATCTGTGCTGCTGCTTCGCATGCCTGCAGGGGTTTAATGAAGTGAAGGGCAAGCTTGCATTCAGTACAAAGCAGCTGTGGACAGCATATTAATGTATTCATGAATGCAGACTTATTTACCAATGAAATGATTGTTTTGTGAAGATATTTTCCTAGACATCATTAAGGATTATTGCTCTGTTTTTGTACATTTGATCCAAGTATTAGAGGTCACCTATTAAGCAAAATCCACTTGTTCATGTCTTTTATACATAACCATGTGTCCCCCCCCTCTGTGTAAAGAGATTCTGGAAGTTTCAGGAAAAAAGATTTTCTCACTTTTTGTCCTGATCCATTTCTATAAAAACCTGTCTGAAAATGAGCTGATCAGATTGTGCCCACTTTATGATGTCATAACAATGTTTTGGCTTGTGTAACCATTAGCCAATAACCAACCAAGGTAACCCCCCCCCACCTTATCACCTGAATCTCCTCCTCGAGCACCATGTGTTCTTTTTAACCAAATATCTCTCAGAGGGGCGTGGGGAGGGGCTCCTTATTTTCATCTAAAGTAACAGACAGAGAATCAGCACTTTTGAAACAGGGCTGAAACAGAGGGGTTTATGGGTAATGCTACAATGCATGATCTGTTTGGTATTTTGAGCCAAACCCTTCAGAGACATGTTTTGTATATATCTGAGATCTATAATATATTGATGAAAAACAGTATAACAGGGAACCTTTAAGTCTTCTAAATACCAAACCAGCCAACACAAGTTGTATGCAGTTGCGCCTGACAGTGACACGGTTTAAAGATGACAGTTTCTCGTTGCAAAGGTGAATAAACAATTTCCAGAAAGGCAACAAAAAATCCTCCTATTTTGCTGCCTCCTTTGAATGAGCCTCCATGAGAAATAGCTCATGTTTCTCAAACACTCTGCGGCAGCATGCTAGCCGACAGTAATACTGATGCCCTGTTGCATGAATTGATGCTGTTTTGTTTTGGTACCTCACAGCCGACACGAAGAAGATAAACAATTGATGAGATGCTTTTTTAGAGTGCGGTTGTATTTTTACGAGGTGCTAATTAGTACCCAGATTCTATTTGGTGTAATTATAGCCCCGCTGCGGAGAGGCTTTGCAGGAACAGCCTCCTCTTCTCTCCTTTCTATAATTATAATTAATACAACTATTTCTATTTGACTCCAAGCATACCTGATTATTTAAATATGCCTGCATGTTTGCTGTAATCCACTTTTAATCAAGAAGAACACTTTCCTCTTTGGTGTTCAGGTACATTTATGAATTTATTTATTATTATTTCACCTATTATGCAAAATCCACTTGTTTGTCTTTTATATATAAACATGTGTCCCCTCTGTGTAAAGAGAGGGGACCCCCCCCCCTACATTATCACCTGAATCTCCTCCTAGAGCACCATTGTGTTATTTGTAACCAAATATCTCTCAGAGGGGCGTGGGGAGTGGCTCCTTATTTTCATCTAAAGTAACGGACAGAGAATCAGCCCTTTTGAAACAGGGCTGAAACAGAGGGGATTATGGGTAATGCTACAATGCACGATCTGTTTGGTATTTCAAGCCAAACACTTCAGAGACATGTTTTGTATATATCTGAGACCTATTATATATTTATGAAAAAGTGTATAATAGGGCACCTTTAATTTCAAACCATGTTTCCCTTCTCATGTTATCAAGACTGCGCAAAGTGTGGACCCATGCTGAAGCTGTGGTGTGTTTTTAAGTAAACAGTATATCTAAGAAACACAACAAGCAGGAAAGCAAAGTGTGAGCTGTGAGAACTTTGATCTCGCTCTTAGTTTGGAATGGTTGGACGTCGAGGATCATCAGATAGCAGGCAGGGGTCAGATGGCTTTCACTGGGAGTCTCTATATTTGTTTACTCCCCGCTGCGCTCTGCTTCTCGAAAGCTTTTCACTCTGCAGACTGCAGTGTGTGCTGTTTTTAAAAAGCTCTGCTTCTGAAAAGCTCCTGCTCCTTGAAAGGAAAAGGTCTCTAAAGTTCTAAAGAAATGGTTTGAAATTGAAAAATGGAATTTATAAATGAGATTTCTGTGGAGCAATGGTCACTTTAAATACTAAATGTTTTTCTTTTGCCTGGTGCTTTGCCCATTTGGATACAGTTACATTAATAATAGAATAGATGAATAATGTTTAATACAAATAACTCCCCCTACATTTCCTTACAGTCTAATATTATACAAATGTTTCAACGGCTTCATTACGCTCTTTGTTCATAAGCTTATGTTCGTTTTTGAGGGACTGCCAATAAATAACAATTTGTTAAATGTATCCATGAGTGATATTTCTGATCCTACTAGCTGTCTAGTGTGCAAAAGAACTGAAGTTACATCAATATTTACATCCATATTCATCTGTTTTTCAATCATCTTGTCAATGAACAATGCTGTCTATCCATCCTTGCTTTCTGTGTTCATTCCCTTCTTGCTCTACCTTGCCCACACTCACCTCAGTATTGTCGGAGCAGTTCATTCAGGCAGAGACACTGACTCACAGAGAACATGCAGACACTGAAACCTGCTGTTTTCATCTCCTCTATTTCCCTCATCTTCTTCCATGTCTCATTTATTTCCTCCTGTCCTCCTGCCGCCCTTCTCTTTCTCTTCATCTCTCTTTTGTTGTCTGAACTGTTTCATTCCTTATGTCTCTATTTTTTACATTTCCTTTTTACCCCATTTGAATTGATATACAGTATTTGTGTCCATTGTTTATCATTCTTTATATTTTACATTCTTTGCCAAGTATATTTCCTTTCTATTTTCTTTTATCTACTCTGTTTCCCCATAACACGTCTTTTTCATAGCCGACTTGTCTCCTCTCAAAAAGAACAGTTATCTGGTCCCACGTTTCAAAGATCTGATAACAGTATATTGGCAAAACAAATACTTATAACCCCATCAAATCTAGTTTTTAAAGACGCGTTAGGATGTCATTTTAAAATAATACATGTGTCATTGCTCTCTAATGGGCAGACTACTGTATGTAATAAAGACTTTGCTTGAACCAATCCAAATTCTCCAGTATTTTAACATGGCTCCATCTTTTGTTTCCTCAAAAACCCAAACTAACCTTTTACCATGCAGTTACAACAACAAGTTGGCAGGAATCCAGCAGCTCACAGCAAAGTGATCCAGGGATCAAGTTGAACAAAGCTAGGTGTGATCTGGTAGATCCATCACCTTGAGTGCTAATCTCTGCTGCTATTGATTTGTAAAAACTTGACAGAGTGTTCGATTGTTGACAACAGTAAATGTCAGGTTTCTGTATGTCAGTCCCTCAGTCAAATAGCAAATGTTGTTTCCTCTTTTTTTTCTATTCTCACTAGGGTTGAACAATTCCGGGAATTTTCAAAGATGGAAACTTTCCATGGGAATAAACGGGAATTAACTGGGAATTTTCTAAATTGAAGGTTGGCTCTTCATAGGGAACTTAGATATAGTAATATCTTGACTAAAACAAACAGATGCCATTCAAGTACACTTGAATATCCATGCCATAGCACACTGCTTACTGCATGGCTATTGAGACCACACAAAGGTTCGCAACAGGCTCACAAATGTGAGAGTGGAAAAACTGGTTGGCATTCGG